GTAACAAATGCACTAACTCCGAATAGTTGACATTAAGTGGTTTTAGGGGCGTTGATGTGTGTATGCAAGTTCCACATTTTGCTTAAAAACTAATATTGCAATCACACACCAAGGGAATAAAGTTGTGTCCCTTCGAAACATGGAAATCCATAATATGTAAATCAAAATCAAAATGCACAAAAGTCATTTATTTTTTCTAAACTAATAATTTTAACCCCATTCCTGCTTTCCTTCCTTCCAACCATCCTTCCTATGTAATAAAGTTTTGCAGATTATTTCGGGTTTCATTTGTTTAAAATGTACAGAGCATTATGCATAAACTGTAATGCAGTCAACGTTGTTATATAATTGGCGTAACAAATCATGTGAATTATACACAACGATATTAAATATTTATGAAATCATCTCTCGTGTACGATTGCATTGAAGTGCATTAGAATTTGTTTAGAAATTTATTTATGTGTGAATTTCAACTTAATTTTATGCTGACTGTGAAATGGCAGACAAATGAAGGGGAGAAACGCATATATATATATATATATATGTATGTAATAATTAAAATTAAATAAATAAGTATAAATAAGTATTTGTGAGTAATAGCTCTCCCTTGGGCTTGTCGTGTTAATAAATCAAAATCACATTTAAATGCGAAATAAAATAAAAATTTTTTTTACAAACAGCAACAAATCAGAAAATCATCTCGAATCACATTCACTATAGCAATTATTATGCAATTGCGCGATTAGAATAACAACAAAAACATGCCGCCGAGTAGCAATAGTATCGCATTCACCCTGAGTTGCGAAATTCGGATTCAAATGGCCAAATGTAAATGTACATACATATAAAGAGCAAAAAGGCATGATATTCGGCATCATTTACTGTAATAAAATATAAAAAAAAAACTCAAAACGGAACAAAAAAGTACAAAAACAGACGTTGTCCTATGTCGGCAAAATTTCGTTCCTATTTTCCGTCAATTAATTCTTTATTCATTTGTAAAGCGTACGCTTACGTGCGCAATCATTCCATTTTGATAAACAGGTAGGCTAACCTGCCAAAAAGAGAGATCAATAACGAAAAATGGCTAAAGACCTTCAGCTCATCTAGTGAATGTTTGCTAAGAATTCCAGTGAAATGAAAATCGAAATATGTTCCCCTTCTCTTGTTCTGGAATTAACGATATTTCTCGCGTGGATTTATATATAATTGGAATAAGTTTAGTCAAGTTGCGATGATATGCGGTTAATGGCTCTCGGAGTTTATATTTATGTATGATAGGGCGAAATTTATCTGTTAATTATTGCACGTAAGCCTAAATGTAAGACTGGCCTTGTACTCGTAATGCTTGCTTTTAAAGTTGTTTCCTTCTTCCCCGGCTATCTCAAAAGATTCTGTTGACCACACACACTTTTGGTTTTCATTCCTCTTTTGCTCGTACATAATCTTCCCTTCTTGCAATTCTTTTTAAGCCTTATGTTACATTTCTTAATTGCCTCATTCTATGTTGTATTAGTTCAAAACCATATATATATATATATATATACATTATATCCTTTTATACAGTATTAGCTTAAGTGTACAAATTGCGTATATATATATTATATTTTTGTTATTTTAAATTGTCACGTATTATTGTCCCCTTTGTATATGTAAATAAACTGTGAGCGAACTGCCAGAATATAGGAACTCATATGATTTGCCCGGAAACGGGAGAGGTCATGACAAGCTATTATAGTTTCGAATATGATTATTAATTGATGGGAACTGCCCAGATAGCTTTAAAGAAAATGACGAGAATATATCTTCTCTCCCTCTCTCTTTGTTGGTAGCCCTCGTGGCGAGGAGGTGTAAGATTTGAAAATCTGAAAACATCCGCTTATATTAGTTAACGTTAGCAGCCACTTGAGAATAAGGAATTAGTGAGTGTAGGAGGACTAGATTAGGGATTGTGCCGTTACACTGTAAGACGAACGCTCTAGCTAGAGGCGGGGTAAAGTCTAGGGAATCGGCTCAATACTCTCTAAGTCAATATATTTAGGAAAATATAAGTTTCCCTTACTTAAGAATAATGACATTTTCCTTAACGTGTAAGTGTAAGTGGTTTGTAATAATTATCTCAACGAAATCCATAGAAATTTAGCGGAGTAGGAGAAAGTCGGTGAGCGTAAGGGGGATTCTACTTGTAAAAAGCAGTTGCACATGTGGATAGCACGACGAGCTAACCCCAGCACTCAGTAGCAAGATTATGAAAATTCCCACTATGCAGAAATTTTCAGTCTTTACAGGTGTTCAATAAGAAATCTGGTCACTTAAATCGTGCCTATCTCTGGTTGAAGTCTGAGGTTCCGCAACCGATTCTATTGTGCGATTATTGATTCAAAATTCTTCCAAATTTTAACACATTGACAAGAAAAGCCTGTGGACGACATGGAATATAATATCAATGCAATGGAATTTTGGGCTATAGAAACGATATGGACACCTGGTTCTTCTCAAGGCTAATAAAACTGATTCCTTTTGCTTCAAAACTCTCATATTCTGCCAACTGTTCGCGTGAAGCCAAAGGCGAGTAACACTGGTACCGTTCTCTATGCAAGCAATGCGCACACATGATGATATGATTTGATATTAAAGAGATATTGTAATGAAAGCAACGACTAACAAGCACTGCAAGCAAAAACCGTGAGTTGTACTTTGCCCAGTTATGTATGCATTTATGTTAACATAATAAAATAATATTTGCGAAGAAAGCAGTGTCGGTGCATTTCGTGTGCATACGTAAGTACAAATTTGTACAATACTTATAAATACTTTTGCATACGATTGGGCGAATGAACGTCGCAGGTTTAAGGGGGAAGGTTTGCTTTTAATAGAGGGCATCAACTTTCGCTTGTGCATGCATTGTGTGCATGGATTTGTGTCGTATGATGATTTTTAATTAAAATACGTTTTCCAATAGCAGGTATTTTGCATATTTTTACTATACTATATGCTGCAAATAAATCAAATCTTTTTTCTCTTTTTTTTGCCTTTTTTTTTTTTTTTTTTTTTTTGGAAAAACGCATGACCTATTTCGGATTGTTGAGTGCGGTTGTGCCGTTGTCATGTTAACAATTGAATATGGGACGAATTATAATCGTAACGTACACGCGCACAAATACTAAAGTTAAAGACTAACCAAAATATAGAACCGAAATTTAACCGAATCCAAACCATAAATGTCGGTTTTGTGGCCAGAAAACCAATAGCAACAACAAAGTCGCTAAGCTTAAGTGCGTTTATTTACATACGTATGCATATATATGTACATCAAGCAATTGTGTTAGTCTACGGATGAATGAGCGCAAGTGTAGGTACGATGAGATGACTAAACTAATATATTTACCTACTCATATACACATACATATATATTTGTTAACGTTTCAGGTGAAGAGTCGTCTAAAATCCCTTGAAGAAATGATTTGTTGATTGAATTGAAACCCATTGCCGTAGAGAATTGCTTAAGGGTAATTTTACATTCTTCCCCTTTTCCCTAAGATATTCTATTGTTCTTGTTTACGCGTCTCATCCATATTATGTCAGCTTGAAGACATAATGAATTCATTTGCCGACTCAATTGCGGATATGTTATAAGAGTCGTATATGCTTTAATGTTTTCCCATAAACAAACAAAGGGCCGAATATAAAAGTAGTGGAGAACAATGTACCTTTAGTTTTAGACTGTCTTTTATATATATATGTTTGATTTTTTAAAAAGAAAATATCCATTCTTTTGTTCAAAAATTCCAAATGTTCACTCTTTCCTATTTAGTCGTGGCCTAGTTTACGAGCGAATCTATTAAGATTCTTGATCGTGATCGCAACCGTTAAAGAGAGTGTTGTCTGGCAGGAGCACCTTCATTCAATGTGCCACAGCTAGGTCGAATTCTTCAAGATAAAGGTCTCCTCAGTCGTTTTGACGCCAAGTTAAAGCAGAAACAAAAACAATATTTGAATAACACTCTCGGACCGTCAGCAATCATTTTGACGTTAGGGAACGGCAGACACGGAAAGAAAGTCTGACTCGTTCCACTCTACCGGAACCTCTAAAAGCTTTCTTCTCAGTTGTTTCATCGCTGGGGCATCGGAAAGGCAGAGAAAATGTCTAAGCTATTCATACGAGCCGTTACAACTTGCTTGCGGGTTTTACTTGTAGATAACTGCGTTTGTCTGCTGACTGTCTGTTTAAAGAAATCTTACAGCAAGCAAAGTGGTGCTAAAAGCCTTGTGTTTTAAAGAGGAAAAATTGACTGAATTAAGTGAACTTCGTGATGGTTGCTCAAAGGATGTTTTACGATACTTTATTTTAACTCTTCGTAGAAGATTTTCATTTGGTAAATTTGATGATAAGTTTATCTTAATCAACACTTTCGCTTTTTTTCGCCCGCAATTTAATTTATCTTCAATTCTTTACATTTTAACACTGATTTAGATGGTTCCAACTTTTCATTTTCTTCTTCTTGCTGTTCACCTTTGAGTATATTGCAATCATTAAATCTAAATTCCTTATGAAAAATGTACGATTTAATGAAAACACAAACGAAAAATGAAGAAAGAAAGAAAAATTCCAACAATTAAAAGCGTAATGTCAGAGGAATTAAGTTGTGATGTTCTAGATGCACACACATACATATATATATATATATATATATATATATACACATGACGTTATGTTTATAGTTGACGATTTAAAAAAAAAAAAAAAAAAAGAGAAGAGAAGAACAAGAACAAGAAGAAGAAGAAGAAAATATTAAAACGTTCTTATACGCAACAAACATTGCTTGAAATGAAAGGCAGTTAATGGAGAAAATGTATATAAAAAACGAAGACTAGTGAAAACGAGGAGGTGAAGACTGTCTGCGTTAACGTTCTAAAAGATTACTTATCTTCTGCTAAAGCTTCTCTGCTTTTAAGTAAAAGTAATAAGGCAAACGAAAATAAATTTCATTTATACTTACAAATTGATTCCATCGTATCCAGCACCGAGACCTACGTGATCAATGCCAGCGACACGCTTAATGTGATTTATATGAGCTGAATATTAATGTTGTTAGTGTTGTTGTTGTTATCATTATTTTTGTTGTTGTTGTCGCGTTGTTAAATTGAACCATGCGACCGTCCATGCATATAACCAGCCAAGCAGTCAGCCACCCATTCAATAGTTGATTCATATGAGAATATTTCGCAGGATTTCAAACATAAAAGCCAACGTTATATAGTTGACGTTAGGCGGGCGGTAAAAAGGTGAAGGGACGACCCGTTTCATTGTAAGCCAAGATAGATGGATAGTAGTTGATTGTTGTGCATCAAATTGAAGTCGCCAAGACGTTCAGATTTGCATAATTCAATTGAATTATTGCAAAATGTATTTTTTTTTTTTTTTTATTATTTTTTTTTATTTTTATAATGAACGTAGAAATTGAATGAAAAAAATTCATGTGTCAGCAAACAGACCCACGCAAACACAGAAAATGTGCAGAGGGAAGGAGAGAGAGAGAGAGAGTGAGAAAGAGAAAGAAAAATCCCATTAGATTAGCAGACAGGAAAAGAATCAAATTTATGTAAATCGAAAGGAGAAAAACAGGAAAATTAGAGAGATTGTGTTCGTCTTCTTTACAAATTCAATTAATCAATAAAAACGGAATATTAAATAAAAAGAATTGAAGACAATTTAGAATGAATTATATTCATTCAAAATGGTTTGCTTACCGACTGCATCGTGCACCGTGGAATTTTCACTGCACGATAGAAATCTCGAATAGAAATTCACCATAATAAGACCGCCGTTTCTTGCCAATGATTGCAACATGTCATCCTGTACATTGCGGCTTGAGTTGCACAATTCATAGGCCGACGAATGAGAGAATATCACAGGGGCTTCGCTTACTTCTAACGCGTCACGCATTGTGCCTGTCGATACATGTGATAAATCGACCATCATACCTAAACGATTCATTTCACGTATAATTGTCTGAAAAGAGAAAAAACCATCAATCATAAGTTAGCGGCCGCATTAACAATACCTATATGTCATCATCAGGCGATGAAAATCAATTTAGCTTTGTCCTTGTTAGCCTCAACAGCTATGCAACGCTTTGCCTTCAAAATGTTCCAATCATTTAGACTGAAAGCATGGACTGACGTAAACACCGCAGAGAAATGTAAAATGAATGTGTATAATCATCATCAGTAACACTTTGGAATTTTCCCATTTGGATAATTTCTTATTGGTATTGACTAGCCGATCTAGTCCAGGCGTCCCAATCCTATATCGGAAAGTTATTTGTTACCCATTCTTACATTAGGAATTTTCAACTTTACTTTAACTATCTTTTTTGTACGCGTTACTATAAATACAGTTTACTTCATATTTTTTCTATTGTTCATACATATCTGTAATATTGAGTGTAGAACTAACAAATTCAATTTTAGATTGTGTTAGCGCCCAAATGGCAATAGCTTTTGCACGACTGAATGGAGCCACCTTTCTAATTTTCGATTTCGGTCCTTACTTGAAAAATATATTAGGTAAAGCTGTGCCTATCGTAAAGAAATTAACAAATTATAGTAGTATTTAATCCACGCCCGATAAGTACAAATATCCTACAACTTCAGTAGACTGGTGTTAGACTGAAATGAATTGTAGACTTTGACTCCACAGGGGAAAAGCCCGATTAATTCGTTTATATTAAAAACGGAACGTTATTGAATCGCATATATAAGCAAGACGTTCTCGGTAAAATCCAATACTAATAACTGTCCCTTATATATATTTCGGCCGGTATCTAACCGTCATAAATACACGAATGGGCTAACAAGAGTGCAATGTATGTGGGTTATGTCTTGTACACAAGACACGAATCTGTGGGCTAAAGTGATCCAACGGCCGTTAATTGCCAGATGTGTATGGATCGAATAGAGCTCGCCGTTGCTTCAAGTCTTATGCCGATGTCATCCTCCCTGGATGGTTGTGCTCCTACTTTAAGATTGTGTAGAATACGGAAAATGCATTCTTTTATTCAAATCTATTTATGGTATTCCCTTCCCTCATACCTATGGCGATTATTCCCTATTTACCTATCTTCCAGTTTCTCTTTCATCCTTTCTTTCTTTAAAAAACTCGGCAGTCTTTCTCTACTTCTTTCTTATCATCATTTTTCTTACACATCCGTCGCTAAGTAGTGATTTTGGGTTCACAGTAAAAAACTAAAGAATACGAATAATAGGAATATATTTTTAATTTTTTCTAACATAGCGCTCTGCCACGGTAAGTAACACTGGGACTTTTCAAAGTCCTATCTTTAAGTTTTACGGCACAAAATGAGTTATCTCGCGGGAGCACATATGGCATAGATTTTTTTTATGGTCCGAACAGTTCGCGTATTGTACCGAGAAAATCGCAGACGCGTAAATATTGCTTATTTATGAAGTAGGAAAGTCCCAATTAAACCGATACTTACGATGAAAAAAGCCTACAGTACGATAGTTCCAAGCGCAAGAAGCGAAAAAAGGCCAATTTAGCAAGCCACCAATATCGATTGTGTAGCTGGATAGAAGCTGATGTTTGTGACATAGGGACTCTGCGCTCAGCTAATGCTGAGATATTACAAAGAAGTCTTAAAAAACTGCATTATAAACCGGTAACTGCAGTGTGCACAATGTGCAAAGCGAAAAGAACATAATAAGCTAAATTTGAAATTTTCAATAAAATCGATCATCTCTTACACACATATGGGCGCAGAGAAAAGGTTGCATTAAACCATATTTTAGGCGGTTTGATGCGTATTTCTTTGTGCTATCAGCTTAAGAAAAGACAAGAAACTCTAATATGTGACGTCTTCACATATGATTATTGGCTAATTACGTGAAAGGAATTTTCCTCTCAGTTAGGTTAGATTTTTACATTCGACACAAAAAGATTTCAATGAAAAATTTAATTTTGAAAATAAAAGTCGTACAAACTTCGTACCTGCGGGAAAAAGAAAAACTGCTAGAACATCAGTAATTTTGGGCGGGGCTTTGCAGTAATTTTGCTTATTTTCGAGGTCGACTTGGGGCGGTTTACTGGAGAAAAATTCCAGTTCTAGACCAAAAGTTTTACTAGTTTTATAATGAAGGAAGAAGGGAGAACGATGGTGCTTCTAATAATTGTAAACGGAGCTAATAGTCTCCCACCCAATTTTAATTACAACTTGACAAGGACCGTAGGAAACAAGTGCAGATTTTGTGTATGAATCCAAGGAAAGTTTTGACATCTTAATCATAATTGAAAAAGCGGCCAGACGGACGGATAATCAAACATATATATATATATATATATATATATATATATATATATATATAGTCAAATTAATGCTTCTATTGTCTTTCTTAAGAATTTGTTTAATAAATTCGCATCTTACAAGGAGTCCTTAAATATGGTGATTATAACCAACAAATTTATATATAAGTAGAATTTTTAATCGCATCAGTTCGATTAATGAATTTGAAATAGGAAATCTTTACCATATTAATAATATTCGTTAATACACTCGTAACTGAGTTCATATATTGTTGTCTACACCTTTTAATAAAATTATAACTATTTTGATTTGTTTAAATTTAGTTTTGAGATAAATACAATTTGTCTCATAACAAAAACACAATTAAATGCTCGTAAATAAATTGTTTCGGCAAATTTGCTCGATCACAAATTTTATAAACAGCTACCGTTCATTATCTCATTGTCAAAATAATCAAATAAAACTAATTATAAAGATTAATTAATTTTCAAATTTTGAATATAAAAACAGCAACAAAAACAACACCAACAACACCTAGAGTAATAGTATGAAGAAAAACAATAACAATGGAAACTATTGTTTGTCGCTTTTATACTAAATAGAATACAACAACAGTAATGAAAAACAATTGAAGATTGTTGCTTATTGTTTTTATATTGTGTTAGGTACAAGTACGTATGTATGCATAAGTAAATCAAACAACATTGAATTTTGATGGCATCTCAATTTTAGTCTATGAAAACGGAATGTAAACACATATAGGATAAATCAAATTTATGTCATCGTAACACACATCGAAAACACAATGAAGATTTTAAAAGAAGATAGGCAGGTAGTGAGAGAGAGAGAAAAAAAAAAAAAAGAGAGAGAGAGAGAGAGAGAGAGAGAAGTAGACAGAAAAATGTCAATAAGAGTAAATAAGGAAAACATAAAAATGCTTTAACGTCACATTTACTGTACACATAAACACTTCATATGCTTAAATAAATTTAATATTTATGTTTTTATATTTTTGTTATTGCCCTTGTTTTGTCGTTGTTGTTTGTTTTCGGAGTAACTCAATTAAAAACAATTGCTTTATATGTACAATTTGTTTAGTATTATTTCATAATTACTATCGGAAAAATATTATTGCTCTTGCATGCTTAGCATTTTGCCTCCAATTTATTGCATGTTTATTATAAATTCGTAAATTATTGTTTGAAATTGCAATTTCAATACAAATTAAATTTCAAGTAGAGCAAAAGAGGATTGGATGATATAAAAAAAAACTCTTGCTCTCTCTCTCTCTTTCTCTCTCGCTCTTTCTATTAATTTCACTTTCGCACAAGAACTGCTCTCGCCCTGTTCTTAATAGTAAGTTTTTCTGGCCTACAGTGCGTATGAATATTAAATAGTTAAAAACATTTAATCCATCTCTGTGATAGGAAGAGAAATAGAGAAAGAGAGAGAGAGAGAGAGAGAGAGAGAGAGAGAGAGAGCGTGAGAGAGAGGGGGAAGAAGAAGAGTAGAGCATTACACTTTCCCATAATACATAAGAATTTGTGAACGAACGCGGGAAGAGCGGTTCGGTATATTCACAGATACTTAAAGTTAATTAAAAAACCAACTCACACGTTCAACTAATAGTAAAATGGCATTTTAAAGCATTAAATAAATAAACAGAAATCAATGATTAATATTGGAAAATAAAAGGAAAAATATAATATAAAGTTTAATTTAATGATACGACCATAATCATCACACCGCAACAACGCGGATAACGTATGCGCCGTTAAGTGTGGCAACTATGTATGCATAAATAATTTTAAATTAAATCAATTTACTTGCAATTGATTGAATTTTTAATTTAATTGTTTATTTTTCTTCGAATCAGGGTTAACTGTGTTGGGTTTCTTTGCTTTTCTCTTGTGTAACGTCAACTTAATTCGTTAGTGTTTCGTTAAGTATTTCATGTTTTTTTTTTGTTTTCATTTATTTTCGTTTCGTTTCTTTTTTTTTATTATTTATTTTGAAAGCTTCATATTTGGGAAAGAATTTCGTTAACAGATCTGCAATGTCAATGGGAAATTAAAACCTAATTTTTATTTATATGCGAATGTGCCAGTTATGAGCAGTGCTTCTATTTCGCCTCTATTACACCTTGTGAATTAATTTTCGATAAGCAAATACCCTAAACTTTTGGTGTGATCACTAACCTATTAAAAGCTGTTGAAATTAACTGATGCGATTCATTTCACTTAGAAATTCGTAGGACTTCTAGTCGTGGCAATGCGAGCTACAGAATAGTCAACTAGCTAAGGAGCGGGATTATCAAGTCATCACACTTGCATTGAATTGCCAACGCCGTAGATCGTACAGTAATTACAATTAGTGCGCGATTTTAGCTACAGTGGCTGCTCGGTTGGTAAGCGCACAGCACTTGCCGAGCGGGTATGTACTTTTCAGGTAATGTCCAATTCCTATCTCATTTTTCGCACTTCCTTCTGATCATCACCGCGCTATAAGCATAGGGGACAGCCGTTGAATGATTGGTCACATTGAAAAGAAACAAGTAAGAAAATTATATTCGCCGTAGCCGAATCTCGCATACCCACTACTATGTGTTTCGCAGTCTATTCTTCAAGTTCTTTTATTTGATACCTATATCGTCAGTATTACTAAGAAAAAAAATATAGCGGCATCTACC